CTCCGTCGCTGGCGGCTCCGTCGCTGGCGGCTCCGTCGCTGGCGGCTCCGTCGCTGGCGGCTCCGTCGCTGGCGGCTCCGTCGCTGGTGTCCAGCGACGCAATCGCCGAGTCTGACCGAGGTCTAAGGTCTAATGTTGCCAAACTAAAGAATATTTGGCCTTTCTGTGAGCCATGTGGTTTTTAAGTATGCTAATGTATGACCTATAGAATGAGTACAAAGACCTTAGGAATAAGTCGCACAAGCGCAAGAAAAAGGGATGACTTGGGTGGGACGCGTTACCGCGTCACAATGTCCCACGAGGTGCGCAAAGTGGGACGCGTTACCGCGTCACGCTGTCGTCAACGTGTTAATTTAGAGAAACTTTCCACCGATTGAATTACTGACTTTTCCATAAAAATGGGGCTCATTCTTGAAAATACTTCTTCGTTATATATGGTTGAACGTGCATTGTGGTCAGCTTGCAGTTGCTTAGCTGTTGTATTAAGGTGTACAGTGGTAATGGATCCTCTTGTACAGACGGTAGCCTGTTGCCGGATGGAAGACGCCTGCTTGCTGGATACGCTGATGGTGCAGTAAGTCAGTTACAATTCTTTTTCATAGTTCTCGCTATAAAACGTACTAGAACGGATTTACTATTTTTGGCGACTTTTGTCGTAATATGTGTTAATTCCCCTCACTTCCTGAGATCGTCCACCATCACTACCATCACTACCTACCCTTCACCATGGTCGCCTTCGGTAGGGATGCTTGTTATACTATTCACACTCTACTTTTCACCTAGATTAAAATATGAATTCATGAGTGCTCCACCACCTGTCACCGTTCTCTCCATCATAGTTGTTCTAACCCTGCTTTATCAATCAACGCTTTTTGGTACAAAACATCTACAGACAAGCTGCGGAAAATTACGGGTACCCGACAGGAGGCCCGTCGCGCGGCAAGAAGGCGAGTCAGCGGACGAGTCGCAGCGCGTACTGTAGTGATTTCGCGTCAAGTTAAATAGAATGTCCCATTGTACGTCCTACACATCACGCGCTGCAACTCGTCCGCCGACTCTGCCTTCTTGCCGCGCGACGGGCCTCCTGTCGGGTACCCGAAAATTACGATTTGCTGGCGTGCGTCTAAGGCCTAATTGATTGCCATAATATAACACGCTGCCATTTTTATTCATCACTAGTAATGTTTATATCATCACGGTCGGTAGTTGTTCGAGGGTGTCCCATGTGAATGGTTTGATATATTCAATTTGTCGGCGATTGTTTAATTTTTTATGTGGAGGATTATTATTCATCGTTTGTTAAACTGTTAAAACGGGTCTTCACTTTCGCGAAGACGTTGCCGATATCAAGACAGAGTCGCTACTCTGCGGTACTTGCGGACGCTATATGTGTCATATTACGTAAACTCCGCATTCTTTGTCATTGAAATCGTTGCCGGGCGTTTTTATAGTGGTCGCAATCAAAATTATTCCGAGGAGGAACGTTTTTTAGTTAATCAGTGAGCGTTTTGAAAGGGGCACGGAATTTTCTATGTATTTTTCACTCCTTGTAAGCATCAATATGTTTCTTTAGGGTTATGGAATCTGAAGGATGGTACGTTTACAATGCTGAATCTTAGTGGTACTGTCACAGCCATCCATCACCATATTAGTCAACCTATTGCCGCCGTTGGCACTGAAATTGGTAAGGATGTTCAATAGTTGCTTAGGTTTTGGCGATATAAAAAATGCGTCGTCGGAATAAAAGCAAAGAAGCATATCTTGATTACCTCCCAGTAAGCCAATGCTTTTTCCGTTGTCACTTGTACCTACAAGAACCTCTAACGTTGTGAAGGTGCTACGCAGGGTCTAGTTCCGAGCGTCTTGCGCTACCCAGGTTCCTTGAGTGGCATTGTAAACTCTTGATTCAGTTGTCATGTTTTATTTTGTTCAACACTCGTATAGTCGTAAGACTTTTCTGGCCAGGTTCGCATTTTCTATCGTCTCCAGTCTGATCCTTGAGAATGTTGCCAAGCCAGAGCAAATTTACTTCAGAGGCTAGCTTTGCTAGATTCTAATGGGTTAGCGATGATCTTCGGAAGAAAACTAACGTCTACTCAGTCTCAAATCGCTTATTTTATATACAAGATGGGAAGAATTTCAAAGATGTTTATTTTCAGCTGTTATGAAAACTGTATATTATTAGACATTAGGATAGAGTAACGGATAAAGTAAGGAGAGAAACGCTCCATATGCATGTCGAGCCAAATCATTTTTGAGTAGTCTCTGAAGTGCTTCAGTAAATGAACTGCTTGTGGTAGCCTATGCTTTTTTATGCAGCAACCTTTCCTTATAATTCCCTCTCATATGAATTGTTTAGGCACTGTTCATGTGATCAACACTTCTCACTCAGACAGACTAAGTGTCACTGTGGAATTCCCGGCGCTATCTCCTCCGAAAGAAGTTGACGAGGTATTTAAAAACAGCTGAAGTATGGTTGTGCTCATGCTTTTAGCTTACTGTGCTAATGCGCAATTCTTCAGGAAGAAGCCAACTTGGAAAATTGCGTGGAATGCGCTCAATTTGCGCCTTTCAATTCGTGGTTAGCTGTTGGCCGCAATGATGGCACGCTATGCATTTACGAAACGACTTCCAGTGCACCGCGTAGTATCTATAGGGCTCCTTCCCCACAGGTAATTTCTAGTTTCAGTGAAAGGGAAATGGGATCAAATCGCTTGTTGGACTCACTTTTGGGCCAGTTGTTATGTCCATCGTTTTCTACTTTCTAGAGCTCTTGAATCCTCTCTTTATGGAGTATCCACTGTTTGCCTCTGGTTCTACAGCTTTGCGAAAGCTCGACCGTAACAATCATTAAAGTAAGCTATGTTGAAAGTTGCAGGCTATGGTTCGTGCGTTGTGGTCGATGGAGGGCAACACACCTTTCCTGTGTGTCGGATCAGTGGATTGTTTCGTTAGAATATTCGACGCTAGGGATGGATCGTTATACAAAGTAGGTTGACTCATTTTCGCTAGCTGTGTACTTCTTCCAGAAGTTGGTTTGTAGGAGCTTGGCAATGGTGCGGATGAAATACTAGACATGGTGCTTCTTGGTTCGAATCCTTTGCGCGTGATGACGGCTGGAAGCGGTGGTGTCATTCGGATATTCGACTTATCTCAGCTCTAGCTTTCACTTACATCCCTTTGTTGAGATATGATTGTTATTAGTTATGCCGTTGTTGTAGTTTTTGTTAAAATTATATACCGAATAAAAAGATTCTAATATGATGGAGTTCCCAACTAGTGGTGTCTCCAAGCATACTTTCTTTGTTGGCTTGCAAGACAAAGTTCGAGTCGAGTCGAACAATCTGCGGTTACTCTTTTGCAGATGACGTACTACCAAATGTACAGGAATACAACCCTTGGGGAGGCGTTGCAGAAAACATTGGACGATCTCGTGCACGAACGTATCTGTCTATGATGTACACGAGGAAGCAGTTTTTGTTTCAACTTCGTTCTTTTTCAGAAATGATCCCGCCACAGCTTGCTGTCAAAGTTTTGGCTATTTATGACAAAGCAATCAACAAAGCACTGGCTCAAAAGGCTAAAAATAAGATGTATTTCAAGGCAAGTTGTACTAACCGCTTTTAGCAGAAGTACTCAATATTTAGCCTACTGAGGGAAGTGTGTCAGGGCGATTCATTCTTTGGTAATCTAGTATCCGAGATGGAGGGAAAATTGATATTAATTCTTGTCCTTCGAATGAAACCAGTAAAGATTAGAAATGTCACAGTATAGGCAACGATTGTGTTATCATATGTGCTACGCAAATACGTTCTCTCTGTAAATCAATAGTTTTATCGGACATCCAACTTCTTTTCATTTTTACTTCTTGGTGTGCCTTATGATCATTTCTTTCCACATCAAAATCATAACGGACTACGGTTCGTTTGGACAGAAAGCGACTTTTCCGCTTTTCACAGCAAAAAAGTTTCGCGCTGCCAAAAGCGGAAACGTCATTGAATTTTTGAGACTCATTGAAAGTCTTCTTCTATTGAATTCGGCCAGTTGATATTGCAGTGTAAATGGAATCATTATGGCAGCGTATGACAAACTAATGTGGTCATCGCTGTTACGATTTGCCAGTTTGCAACCAGGTCATGATAGATAGCTACGCAGCTACACAAAACCTGCCAGAACAAACACTTCCGAATGAAGTTTGAAGGATAGGCATGCTACATCTTTCCTTTTCTTAATTTCCAATCTAACGGTATCACAAAGTAACATCCGCGTAACGACCGATAATTGGCCGCTCATAGATAATCCGAAATTGGACCCCTGCAGGCTTCGTTTGGGCCACGCTTGCAGAATTTTGAATGATATAAATTCTTATACAGTTATTATTGATGTTTAGGTCCTATAAGAATAGGTATGTGACAAACTAATGTGGCATCAACTCGCGACTGATTTTGCAGTTTTTTGCACCAGGGTCTAAGATAGAGGGTACGGAAGCTTACACAAAACCTTGCAGAATCAGAACACTTCCGAAATGAGTTTTGAAGGATAGGGCATGTTTACTATTTCCTTTTTTCTATGAATCTGATTCTTATTTTTCCAATCTACGGTATCACAAGTAAAATCCCGTAATCGAGCCGTAATATTGGCCGTCATAGGGTAACTTTCCGAAGATTGGACCCTGCAGGCTTTTCGTGTTGTGGCCACCTTGGAGAAGTTTTTGGGAATGATATATTGCTTGTTGCAGTTTTATTTATTTGATAAGCGTTTTTCTCCGTGTTCAAATATCCTTGCCTATTTGAAGCATCTTCGCGCTCGTCGTCGGTTTGTCTTATTATTATTTAAATCACACCCAGGGGCATTTTTCGGGGGCACACATACACACCAAGCTTTTGGTTGCTGAGTTTAGTAATAGATCCATGATATTTCAGGCAGAGAAACTGCGTGCTTATCGACACTGTGATAATGTGTGGACGTTCCTCATGGAGCGCGTGGATTTTCGTGATAGCATTCGTGTAGCTCGAGTGAAATTTGTTGCTTGTGACGGTTCAGCAAAGTTGGCGTCTACATGAAAACAGCCGAAACTCGAAAACAACTGGGACAGCATTTCGGTTTTGGTTTACCTTTGAAATCTCTATGCCAAGGGTTGTTGGAAGATGATGCCCTCCAAAATTTGGAAATGTGTATCGGGCAGAGGTTTTTTTTTGTAAATATTTTTGCACTAACTACTGTTTCCACTGAAGTTTCTCTCGGATTTAGGTAGACTCTTTAAGTTTTCATTCCTATTTATTATAGGTATTAATGGTTGTTATAGACTGAATGTGATTTTATCCATTTTGTGATTACAATGGTTGTGATAAGTTTTTAATGTATGCCTGGTGGGTGCCTTATATAAGTTGTCAGAGTTGATTATGTCTTGGTGGCCTTTTCATTTGTAATTTGCTACAAACATCAACTGTGATTCTCTAGAGGAAATAAAGTATTATTGTCAATCCGTCGAAATTTTGGACAAAAGTCTGAACCTTCAGTTATCTGAGTTTACTTTTAGATTTGGAAAAAAAACATGCTCTTTCTTGTTCACAGGTACTCGCACAGGAACAATGGCGTACATGATGTATCGAGAAACGACTTTGGGCTCGGCCCTAAGTCGCACTTTGGATGAATTCGTCGAAGAAGGCCTTATAACTCGCCCACTTGCAATGAAAGTACTCACAACCTTCGATAAGAATATAAATAAAGCACTCGCATATCGAGTGAAAAATAAGGTGAGCAAGGTTTTCCTGCGTACTATTCACATATAGGCGAGAAACTGGTTTCTATGCTCTTATTCTGCAACGAATACAAGCATAAACATAAATGAGTTTTGGTGGGCTCTCTATGATTGAAGCTGGACTTTCCTTTGATTACACGTTCGTCGTCTAGGCGAGATCACTCAAGAAGCTGAACGCCCTGGAGCGAAGTCAGCCTCTTTCATCCTCCCCTGGCGGAAGGGCTGGACCGATGAGACATGAACCATGAGGTTCATGTCAGTTGTGCCCTCATAGTTTATCTTGATGTTCAATCAAATAGAGCCCACCGAAACTCATTCCATGTTTATGCTTGTATTCGTTGCAGAATAAGAGCATAGAAACCAGTTTCTCGCCTATATGTGAATAGTACGCAGGAAAACCTCGCTCACCTTATTTTTCACTCGATATGCTAGTGCTTTATTTATATTCTT